TTGATTCACAATTAGTTTTCTCCAAATATCAATTTTTGATATTTTAAAGTAATTTTTACTAAAACCTATTTTTAACTTCTTTTTAAAGATGTCTATATTAATTATTAATTTTATTTACTTTTATATGGTTCATTTTTGTCTATATAAAGTAGATAAAAGTATCTTCTATAAGAAATTAATCTTAATACTTATTAATATTTTACTACCTCTTTGTCTATTATCTATAGTTTTAAGCACTTTTATAATAATTTTTTTTCTTTGATCTAATAGCTGTATTATTGTATAACAAAGTTTAGCCACCATATATGTATTACTCAATTCCAAAATCGTAATTTTAATGTAGATTAGAATAATAAGGTCCTTATCAATCGATTTTAACATAGATTAAAAGATAATTTCAAAGCTATATCATTGATAAAAATAAAAATAAATTCATTAAAAAAAATTATTATTTAAGCCATTACATGCCACTATTGTCTTTTTGATAGAACAAAGATCCAATTGAAGAAGAAAAAAACAAGTCATGATAACAACTTCTAAGTTGTAAAAAACTTATTCATTAAGATTGAAACCAATACATTTAATTATAATATGTTTTAGAACTTTTATTAAATAAAAAAAGACTCAATATTGTTAAGAAGGATTATGCTTATATTGTAGAGAACCTAAGCGCATAATTGAAAATTGTCCAAAGAAACAATGCAATCACAAAATAAAAAGCATGATTGTCAAAAAAGAAGATGTATTAAAAAAAAAAAAAAAATCTAACTACAATAAGGATTGTGCAGCTATAACCTTATACAATAACTACAAAAAGTCTAATTTTTCCTTAGATCCTTCACACTATTTTATAATAGATGTTTGATTAGGACAAAAAAATTATAAAGTCTTTGTCTTGTTAAATTTAAGAGTTTTAATTATTTTATAGATAATAATTTTATTTATATTATATATTACTTCAAATAATTTAATAGTATTTTTTAATATTTTCTAGATTATTTTTTATTTTTTATCTAAATAAAATTGTAATCTATTTTAAAAATACATAAGATTACGAACTTCATATTTGTTGTATATTACAAGAACTTAGAAATATAAGACCATACATAACAATAGTAAAATATGTGTTTTTTTACTAATCGAGTTGAATTTTCAGAATATATCATTTTAAATAATCGCCTTATGATAGATCCTATGAAAATTCAAACTATCATGTCAAAATATTCTAATAATAAAAAAATATAAATTTAATATCTTTTAATATTTTTTTAATTATGAAAAAATCTTTATCAAGAATTTTTCTTAAATTAAAGATTCACTTACTTTTTTTACTCATAAAAGCAAATTTAAGTGGAATAAAGAAGCTAAAACACTATTTGAAGCCATGATGAAAACTTTTACTTTTGCACCAATCTTGTATTGTATTGACTTCTATAAGACATTTTTTATAGAAATAAAATCATCAAATTTTTTATTAAATATAATATTATCATAAATGAAAGTAAATAAAAAATTTCATGCAATATTTTATTATTTAAACTTTTTTTCAACAATTAAAATCAACTGTAAGATCTACACAAAGAACTTCTTGCACTTGTGGATTCATTTTAAGAATAGCATTATTATCTAAAAGATGCATTTAGTCTAATGATTATTTAAACAAATCACAAGACCCTCAAAAAATTTATATTGGCATATAGTCATGTGGTAACATGAATATATAGTGAAAGAAAAAAAAAAGATAGGTTTTATTATAAAAGAGCATAGTAAAATAAATATAGTAGCAAAATAATAATAAATAGTAAGAAGGTAATAAGAACTTTTAGTTTTAATGCTACTTTTTGATAGAAGAGACTTCTACTCACTTTGTAGAGGTATAAATGAGTCAAATCAAAGTAATTGAGATAATTAGTAAATACTTGCATCTTTAAAAATGAATTAAACATAGGATTTAGTAAAAATTATCTCAAAATACTAAAAATTAATATTTGAAGATGACGAAGTGTGAACCAAGATCAAAATCAGATCTTGAGGTACAAAACCACAAATTGACGGTAATTCTAGGATTTTCCAGTTAATTGGAAAGTAGAAATTAACATCAAACTTGTAAGAGGATTTTTGGAAATTGATTTCATGTGATTGGAAGGCATATTGAGTTTTAGGGGTTTTCAAAATGAGAGATGAACTTAGTACTTTTGGATTTTGAAAAACAAAATGAAGTTTACAAATTTAAAGATTTTGTGAGTTTTATTGCATAATTATAAATAAAACTTTGTGAGGTTGTCATTATACTTGTTATTAATGTATTTGAAAAATTTGATATCAATCAAACAAATAGATTGAAGGATGTGAAAATTAAATTTGGTTAGGATCTTAAATACTTAAAATTTAGAGTTAATGAGGGTTTTTGCGATCTTATAAAATCCACTAGTTTGATTGAAGCAAAAATTAGTGATGGATATTTGGACTTAGAAATCCACTCACTGGCTGATTTTTGAAGCAATTAAATAGTTCAGTAAGGAGAAATCACAACTAAGAATTCAAGTTTTATGTTAGAAAAAGAAGGTGGCTAACATTCAAGAGGTTTAGGAGTTTTTTTTATTCAATTAGTAAGTTTTATTTTCTTTAAATTTTGTGTATATATTTATTAAAAATTTTAAATTTTAAAAAGTATTCTTGTAAATAGAAGCATAACATTTTGATTGGAGAAGAAGATTGCTTAATCAATATGTAAAACCTTTGATTATTTTCCTAATTGATAAGTACTTATTTCTTTGTCAAAAATATATGTGCATTACTTATAGATGTCAATAAAAACTACTGATGTAATTATTTTTATATTATATATAAGCTAATATTTTTACTTATATAATATCTAAATATAACATATATAGTAGAAATAGTCATTAGATATATGTAAAGACTTCAAAAATCTATAAGTAAAGTTGAGAAATAAACATCAATGGTTTCACTCATATAGACTTTTGGAGGTGAATAGATACTTATTAATTGTTAAGAGTTTATATTATATAATTTTCTTCTACACGAATTTCATGATCTAGCAAAAGACAAGCAATATTTTTAAACAATTTAGCTAAATTGTAATATGAAGTACTTTTTGAAGGAGCTAAAGAAATTACATATATTTGATTACTCTTTTTTAATATTATCTTCTGTACCAAAATAGATAGAAATATATATATATATATATATATATATATATATATATTATGAAAATTAAGGCTTAATAGTAATTACTAAAAATATATTATTCTAAGATAAAGTATAAAGAAGTAAAGCATAATTATATTAAAGAATGCATCTTAGTTGATAAAATTATGTTAACTTATACTAATACAATTAGTTGGTAGATATCTATATTAAAGTAGTTGCTTGTAAGAAATTTGAGAATCCAAGAAATCCTTTAAGTATCACATTGGTGGCATCAATGCAACCTTCTTTATATTTTATGTAAAGGTGATAGATCATTTCTAACACTACTAATATTGCAAATAGATAGTTTAGTAAGACATCTCTTACTCAATAATTGTCTTGTGCCATAAATTCAAAATTATGACTCATGAAATTACATGCCCAAGGGAGAGTTTTAGAAATAATAACAAATCAAGCAAGTAGTTTCATATCTTAACTAGCAGGGATAGGTAATACCAAAGTCAAGTAAAATTAGAGTTGCAAATGATAAGATTAAATTTCCATAGTTTTAAGCTTTCTACACCTCCATTTGTTTTTAGTTAGAATTTAGCTAATTTATGTCATGTTGTAGATCTTATGTGTTCTATATTGAGTTGCCTATAGCACATTGTGCACAGTGTATTTAGGCAACAAAGTTCCCATCTATTCCTTGCAAAATACAGACAAAAGGTTTTTATCAACACTTGAATTCTTCTTATTGACTCAGTAACAATAATCTTGATGCACTGCAAATTCAAATTGACTTATGTATTCCAATTGTCTTTAAAAATATGTTTCTCATGCTTATAATTGTGATGGTGCACTGTAGCTAATGTGGGAACAAGTCTGCACTCAGTAAAATACCTTTGGTGTTGTTGCATGGCAAAATACTCCCATGAACTATCCATCTGAGGATTCTCCCCAGTACAGAGCTTCTATACCACAAAGTCTCCCTCTATATTGTTAGATTTCATTATTGTTTTGCCACAAACCAAGAGCATGCACATTGAAGTGGCTTTGATAATACATCAAAAAATGGTTTGGAGCAGGGCTTAAGTCCCTTGTCCATTAAAATTTTCAACTGCAACTGAGATTTTTTTGGTGAACCTTATCTTGGTAATATTTAGCTTCTAAACATAGTCTTCTGATATACATTAGTTGTTCTGTTGTATTTGGAATGAAATATTAACATGTAAACAATGTCTGCAATAATAAAGAGATATGTTGTTGCCATTTGATGATGTTTCCTTAGAGGAATCAAATTCTGATGTTAGTTAATGCACAACCAAGAGTAGAACTTGTGACCTTCTGGGCACTCTAAATTATGTTTGATTTTTGATTTTTCTACTTATATGACATTGATAATTTGTTGAGTCACAAAATTTTAAGAACATTAATTAGTAATAAGTTATGAATGAAAATTTACTACTTGGATGATTAAATGATATATAATGTCTACCAAAGATCATAAAAATTAATAGCTTTTGTAAGCTTTATTTCTTAACAATAAAATAGATTTAAAAATACAAATAAAGAATCACCAAATCAGTATGAAATATTTCAAATTGTATAAATATAAACACATGATTAGTTACCATAAGGACTTCATTGTAAAATAATAGTATAAATTTTTATCAATGCCAAAAATGTGTGGCCAAAATTGAGTTCTAAGAAGTAACAATTAAAACATGTATAATTAAGAATAACTCACTTTACACATTTAACACTGTGTTTGTTTGTAAATTGTGCTTCTGCAACAGTTTAAACTATCTTGCTCTCAAAAACATAACAATTTTGGTCAATGAAGATATTTCAAATACAAACTTCTTCTTTCTTAAAAAACATCACAAAAACTAAAATAACAACCTATTCCAATGTTAATAATTTTTCATTGTGAATAGCTGCACTAAGCATAACACACCCAAGGAAGGAAATCCACACAGCCTATCTCAAACAAAAGTTTACACATTAAATTCCAGCATTGAGCTTGTTGAAGCTTGCTTAAAATTAGAATGATAAGAATGAACCACATAGCTATTCTTTTGGTGGTCGATATTGCAGGTCACACTTCTCGTACATCACAGTGCCCACCTCCAAAAAGAAGAGCTCGGTGAGTCACTAACATCAGTCTAAACTTTAACAAGCCTCAACACGCTTCATGCCTGCACAAAAACCACAAAGTTCATCACAGGCAACGCACTTCACTACTATTTGACGTAGCAGATGCAATACTCGATACATACAACTCTAGAATTATCATTCACAACTCTGCTGCAAAAAAGTAGAGAGGAGAGCGCAAGGTGTGAGTCAGACATGGGCGGCAGACACATGATTGAATCGAGGATTGCGAATCCGTCGTCGCCCGCAGATTGGAATCGCAACTGTGCGGTGAAGTTGGTGTGTCTGGAATCGCCATCCACGACGGTGTCGGACAACGGCTTGATGGCTTCGTCGACGTCGTCCAGGCGTTCCTTGGCCAGCTCCGGCCCGAAGAATTGCTGCACGAGCGCAAATGCAGAGCGTGGTCATACATGGTTAGCCAATTTGCCTCGAGCTCTTGACGATGTCGTGAAACGCGAAACCGAGAGCAGGTTGCAATCTGAAGACAGCATCATGATGACGAGGCTCAAAACCCGAAACTGCTGAGATCCGCGGAGGCAGTCGGCGGCTTCGCGTTGTGGCCTTTGCCGCATGCAAATCATTGCAAGCAACAACGCAGTGCGGGTAGAAACACGATGTTAGTACAGAAGAGAATGAGTTTGTGAATCGGAGGACGAATGGACTCAAGTAGTTGCGGATGGTATGACCTCGTGAGGTTGGAAATCTCAAGCATCGTGCTGGGTCAACAACACTGCTGCACATCAATGCAGGGAAATGTGGGTTTGCTTGTTGAATCTGAAATGTGGGTTGCTTGTTGCCCCCCTTTGCCAACATTCATTCCCGTCTATGCACACAGCTGAAGAGTTCAATAGCTGGCTGTTTCAGAGAGTAGAACAAAACGAAGGGGGTGGGCTCCGTTGAAATATTCAGACCCAATTTCTGGGCACATCGACGGGGATTTTGTGAGAGCAATTCCTGCGGGAAAAATCTTCACCCACGCCACACTGAGTCAATTTGCACCGTGCTCGAGTGCCGGCGCTGGCGTGGCCGGTTTGTATGAGAGTTTCTTTTGGCTTCAATCAAATGTTGAGGCCCTTTTATTTTTCTTTAAACTTATAGTTATCTCTTTTTTATTAAAAATACATGTTAAATAAACATTAAAATCTTAAATTGTATGAAGAGTATATATATATATATATATTTGTTATCATTATTATTATTTGTATTTTATAACAAAAGACTTCTTTAAATTTCTTTACTAAAGATGTTTTTAAAAAAAAATTGTATTGAGTTTGGAGCATATCTAATTTAGAATAGGATTTTTAAATTTATATAAGTATATATATATTTATATATATATATATATATATATATATATATATATACATATATATATATATGTGATATTTTATTAAGGTTTTCTTGCACAAATACTAAGCAAAGAAAGTTACTTCATATTAAGAAATCTCAATAAAGTGTAGCAATAAATTACAAGGTGTAACTCACATGGTCTTTTTTGTCAATTAATAATCTTTTTTAATGTGTTTGGGGCCAATATTATCAATACATGTATAAATACCAAAATAATTATATAAAAATATCAACACAAGTTTTTACTATCTTTGATAATATAACTTTTTTTTTTTTTGAAGAAACAAAATAAGAAGAAAAAAAACTCGCTATATCTAAAAGCTAGAAGGCTAGACAAACTATAAAATAAAAATAAAAATAAAAAAGAGTAGGTAACTCTATAAAGGTGGATTGAACTTGGTGCATTTACTATCAAAAAATATGAATTGCAAGCACATATGTCTACATTAATAATTAATTAGAGACAGATTTTTTCCATCAAATCTTATATAATTAATAGAATTAAACTTGTTAATTGAAAAATATAAATAAATCAAAATAATGTTAAGGCATTATTTCCAATTGTGTTTTTTCAACATTAACTTCATACTTTGCATCTAAAAGTTTATGTTTGTTAATTGAGCTCACAATATTAGAATAAAAATTATTCATGTTTTTTAATTAAATATATTATTAAAAATAGAAAAATATTATAATAAAAAACTCAGCACATTTATCATTAAAAGAATTATTGCAAGAAATAATTAATAATATTATGCTAAGTATGACTCATATCTTAGTATAATTAGTAGCAAAAGTTGAATTCAAGATAATTGTGTTCTTGTTTTTGTTTTGGAAAATCCTCTAAAGTATAGATGAGTCTTGCACAAGAAAGCTTTTATTAAGTGCCAAATTAAAATTACTGAGATAAGAGCAAAACTTAATCCAAATTTAAAGAATGGCAAAGATTTTTAAAACTAAGACAAGAATAAAATTATGAAAATTATAAATAAGTTAATGTATGAATGATGGAATTTCTTACATATATGTCATTTCTTATGTCATAAACATGTTATTACCATGAATATTACTAACTTGGTTGAAGCACTAGTATAGCTTGATAAAATAAATATTAAAATTGTTGGATCATTTTGAATATACAGTAATAGATAGTGGATTCTAAAATTTAGTAGGTATGTAATTGGTATCAACTCTTTTTCTTGATTGAAGAAGATTTTACACCTTTATATAAATTATCCTTAACTCTTGATGTTGTTAAATTCTAATCTTATCCAAATTACTAATTCTAATTATTATCTCAATCATTGAAAAAATCCTAATGGTAATCAAACAACTAATCTAAATCCTAGTTGAAAGACTTTAACAAAGTAAGCTCTTAATTAGATTGTTAGATCAATATAAAACTTTGTGATTTACTTTAAGATCAAGTTTTTAATGTATTTGCAAAGTTTAAAAGTAATCTAACTTTATTAAAAATAAAGTCTAAATAATCACATTTATATCTCCAAAGATTGCCACAAATGAGAAAGATTTAACATTAATGATAAGTTTTATATTCTAAGTCCAAAATATATTTAATATCTACATACTCTTACTTAAATTTTTTAAAGACCTTATATATATCAAATTTATTATGGAATCAAAATTTTTAATATGTTGAGAATAATTCTCTTATTAAATGTAATTCATTAAAGTATATATGTATATATATATTCACAAAAGAAGAATATTTACAAGAATAAATATTTAAGCATGAGTAGATTTAGTTTCATCAAAAACATTATTGATAAGAGTTTAAATATATTTTAAAAAATAGTACCAAAGATAATATATATAATATCCTTAAAGATAATATGCATTGATATAAATACATAATTTTACTTTTAGCAAAAAATAAAATATGAAAATAAGCTAACTTAAAAAAAATATATTAGAGATAAAATTGATGAAATATATTAGCTTGCTATTAAGTTTTTTTATAAGATTACTAGCTACTATTAATTAGGTTGTATTTATTGCTAATTTTTTATTTTAAATATTGTAGCATATTGTAATAGATAATATATAATAAAAATAAAAATGGTCCGTTGTATTTTATTTATAAATAGAAATCTTAATTTGAATTATTGGATTATAATTTATAATACTTATTGCAACTATTTCAAAACAATTGTAAGATTTGTAATACAATTATTAGATAAATTAAATATTTGTAAAATATTTTATATACACATTAATTTATAATTTTAATTTTAACTTTATTTAAAATCTATGGAGGATTTTTTAAGTATTTTTTTAAAATTAATCCAAATCTTTAAATATAACATGGATTTGTTTGTCTATCTCTTTCTTATGTTATTTCAACATTGTTCATATCATAGTATCTATCCTATTACTTACCAAATTTACTTGTAAATTATTATTTTTAGCATTTGAAATTAAAAATAAAGATACTTATTTCTTTTTTTTGTTATAGTATAGGCTTCTACAACTTTGTAATTGTCTAGCTACTTGAAGACGTATGTGCCAATAAAAAAAAAAAAATCATTATGATTAATAATAAAATTAATAAAAATTAATCATAAAAATAAAAAATATATATTTATAAAGATAAAAAAAATTAAGATATCAATTAATACATCTTTTTGTGAATCTAAACCACAATATTTATTAAAATAGTTTCTAAATTTTAATTTTAGACTTTATTAAAATACTTTGAATCATAAAAATTAAAAGATGAATTAAAATATTCTAAAGAATTTCAAAAAATTATTTACTAAAATGTCTTATCAGATTCTGTATCATAAAGTCTATAGGATATTTTAGAATATTACAATTCACGTTAATAATTATTACATTTAAATATCCTTCTAAGGATTAGAATTCAGAGGTACCAACATAAGAATGGCAATAAGCTTTAGAGGCTAAAGAAAAGAGAATTTGAAAGAAAAAATATCATGTGTAAAGATTTTTATATGTATATTTGGAAATTTAAAATATGTTTATATTACATGTAGAACTTGTAAGATTTTAGTGAGCAAATATTTTATAAAAAATTGTGAATAAATTTACAACAAATGTTAAAGAATAAAAATATGACTATGTATTTTAATATAAGAGTGATAAGAAAAAATAGCAATTGGAAAAATAATAATAATAATAATAATAATATGTGCAAATCATAAAAACAATGAAGATGCTATAGAAATTAAGAGATTGTAAAATATTTCAGAATAAGTCAAATTCAATTCAATAAAGGTGCAATGAAGAGTCTAACAATAAACGTATTCAATATGAAAAAAACTAACAAGAACAATACATTGTTATAAAAAATATCAAAGAAATGTAGTATAAGTGAATTGAGTAAAGAACTAGTGGAAAGATAAATAAGAAATAAAGAATATAGCAATGATGAATAAAAAATAATATTAAATCACATAATAAAAGAATTTTAGGTCAACACAAAAAGAAGTGCAAGGAATAGACTACCAAATTGGAAAAAGTGAATCAAAAGATTAGTCAAAATATGTAAAAAGGAAGAAAAGTTTGACAAAAGAAAAAAATGTGAACAATATGAGTACCAATAATGAGACAATTACAAAGAAATCCAAAGTCAAGGAATAAAATGATAAGTTGAACCGAAAAAAAGCTATCTATGAGTATAAAAAAAATCTATATATATATATATATATATATATATATATATATAAGCAAAAAAAGAATTGAACACAATAGTCAAAACTCAAAAAATATTGATCAACATTTTCTTAAATAATTGACATAATTTTAAAAAAATCACATAAGCATATAAAAACAATATAAGTTAATGAATTTGAACAAAATTTGTAATAAAATAAATACTATAATTTTCTTTAATTTATAATCTATGTCACTTTTAGACACTTTTTAAATATATAATTGCTAACATTAAATTGCTAATAACATTTTCGAACCATTAAATCAACTTGATTGAAATCCAATTGCTCATAACATTCATTTTAGCAACAACCTATGTCTTATCAACTTTTACAATTCACAAAATAATTGCTAACATGACTTATTTATTTATTGTTTTAAAGGAATGCGATGTTGAAAAGAAATATCCTTAACTGCAACAAGAAATCTTGTGGGAAAAAAAGAGGAAAAAAAAAAAAACAAAACAAAACAAAACATATCATGTTGCATGTCAGAAAAAGGATGGAAATTAAAAAGACATGAGACTTGTAAAGAAAATGATGTAGGTGGGACCAAGCCTAGTTTAGGGTTTCACAAGGCAGTTGGGATTGTTTCTTACGATGGTTGTACCTGGAAAACCCTATTGGCATACAAGCAGATGAACTCGGTCTGCTCGGAGACTTCAAGGGAGCGTTGGTTGACAAGTAGCCCCAATCTTTCCCTGCAATCCAGCAATACCCATCAGTTCAAACCACGAGTTCTCAGGCACTTGCACTTCACAATCGCGGCGGTTTACGATTTGAGTTTCAGCACATAATGTCAAGCGCGACTCACCTCTATTTCTTGCTTTGAACATGAAATCGGTCACGAACGTTTCATAGATTCTTAAATACCAGAGATTTATAATCTTGAATATTCAGCTTGCAGATTACAATTTAACAAGCAGGACTGACTGTCAACAATCTGCAGAACTGAATAAGATTCTTGAGCAGTGTGCGTCCCAGGCTTCAGTGAGCGCATGACGGCAATGTTGCCAAGGGTGCGCTACCAGGCTCAACACCTACCTCGCAATTCGTGCATTGTTGTGCAGCAGTATTGGCCCAGCATGATGCTTGAATTTCTAGCGCACGGGATCATACCATCCGCACTAACATCACTCTTTGGTGCAGAGATTCTCGAGGGCAAAGGCGGTTCTGGCACTCTCCGCGTCTTGCGATTTGGACCCAGAACAGCGTAAATTCGTCCCCGATTCGCACACGCATTCTCGTCTGTTCTCCCAACGTAATTCAGCAAGAACGCCATTGTTGCTTCCAATGACTTGCATGGGACAAATGGGGGCCGCACCGCGAATCCGTCAATTGCTCCACGGGGGCTCTCCAGTTTAGGGCTTTGTGCGTCTTCGTCACTTGCTTGTCTTCAGATTGCAATCTGCTTTCGCACTATAATTCGCTATCGAGGTCACACCATTAATTTAAAATTCAATAAACATCAATTCCCAATTACGATTATTAACCCACAAATTACTGATCCAAATTTTGTAAATATTGGTAATTTTCAATAAAATAATAAGTTGGCAAGAAGATTATTTCAGTTTTTCACAAATGTAAAGATGGGGCTAAAATAATTTGAACACAACATCTAATTATAGTAGTAATACTTATAATGGAAGTATCTTTTTAACAAAGTAATCTTCATTCAAATTTGGTTAGGAGGCATAAATATTTTTTAATAATATTAAGATTGATTGACTTTGTTAGGAATTGGGATCACATAAGATTGAGATTAATTTTAGTTAAAAAATAAATTGATATATTTGAAAATGAATTGTAATTACTAAAATTAATATCTTTAGATTTAACATGTTTTTATATTTTTGTGGAATCTAAATTTACAAAATAAAAAATATGCCAAAAAAAAGGAACTATCATTATCTTATATTTTAATTCATAAAAATTAAAAATTTAAAGTAGAAAAAATAATTAATTTTAATTTGATTTTTAAATTCATTAGAATACTATTATATTGGGTCAAATATAATATATATATGTTCACACAAGAGTATTTTAAGTATCCTATACATCTACCAAAATTATATACTTTTTTTAAAATATTAACATTTATTGAAACTAAAGACCAACCACTAATAATAAGATTTCATAAAATCAAAAAATATATGTAATGATATAAATAAATAAATAAATTCAAGAATCAAATCATTCTTATATACATTAAAAGTTATTTTGTAAACTTTACTAATCAATAACAAATAATGTACATTCATCAAATTTATCTTAGATACTATAATTTTCAAAATTGTTGGTCAACCATTTATCAAAGTTTTGTAAAACATTTATCAAAGTTTTAGAAAATGACATTTTAACATAATTGAATTTTATCAGCTAGAGATGCAACTTATAAGTTGAAAATTCTTACAAGACAATACAATATCAAATACAAAAATTAAAGTTAAGATAAATGATTAGAAGTCTGTAAAAAATTATTAATTTTTTTTATCTTTATCAAGAAATATTAAAAAAGCTCTTTAGTTTCAAATTGTATCTTTATATATTATAAGATGTATTGAATGGCTATAAAAATTTCTTAGAGAGGTTTGTTTTAATTTTTTAAATCTATTCTAAAAGTATATAGAAGTTAGATATTTAGCCAACAAACCTCTATTCCTCAAGAGGCTAATACATGATTTTTTTTAGTAATTAGAATACATAAAAAAAAAAAAAAAAAAAAAAAAGAATAAAGTTATCCTTGAGCTTATTAGTGAATTTGTCTAAATTCATGTTTTAATACATGTATGCCATTGATTTAAGTTTTGATCTTAATCCTACTTTTGATGTCTTTATAATATATTTCCTTTTAATAAAATATTTACCTATTCTCAACTTTTATATAATTAATAAAAAATTATATTTTAAAATTTTTAGAATTTCTATTGTAATTATGACTTGAAAAAATTTATATTCGAAATTTAAAATAAAAGCTTTAAAACACCTAAAAATCAAATCTCTAAAATTCATATTATGTATTAGATTATATATATTAAAAATAATTAAATAAATACATATATATTGTTTTTTATAAATTTTTAAAAAACTATAAGAATATTTTATATATTATTTATTTGATATACATATTAAATTTAGATGTTTTATCAAATCCAATTTGATTTTTTGTAAATCGTTTTATTAAAGTTATTTAAAAAATATGAAATTTGTTTGTATTCTATATTACTTAGTATTGGAAAATGTTGCCTATGTTCTATATTTGAGGAGTTTGGATATGTGTAACTCTAACTATATATTATTTTAATAAAAAACATTATGTCTTTATTTATTTAACTATTATTATTATTATTATTATTATTATCATTCTTATTTCAATTTTTAAGAAAAGAACCGATAAAACAAAAAATCAAGTGTTGCTAATCCCACCATGGTTTTTACTATTGCCACCACAACTTGCATTATCTTTTTATTCCATTCTAAAAAATTGTTAATATTTCTATCATAAATATATTATAAATATAAATATATGTATGTATATTTATATTTAATTTCAAGTTAATACATGTCATGCATATTTATCCAAAATAAAAAAATCCTTTATTTCTAAAAGATAAGTTATTTTGGTATATTTTAGATAATAAGATACATCACAAGTATCTATTTTTCAAAGATTGAAATTTTTAATCCTAAAAATTATACTCATTCGTTTTTTCAAATTTAAAACTTAAAATCTGAAAATTAAAATTTGATGTTTTAAATTAAAATAATTAGATGACATCTGAGTTGTAACAAAACTTTAATAAAAATATTTAACTTCAAATAAAAATCTGAATAATACTATCTATACATTGATTTAGATTATGAAATTGAAAATACGAATTCTTCAATGATTTTTTTAATTTACAAAAAAATTATGTTCATCTTCATTAAGTTTTTAGAATAAATTTTGTTTGCAAGATTTTAGAGTGAGAATTACATATCATATAAATTGACCTTCCTCACAACCTTATCCACGTTTTTATTCATTTAATAGGATTATTAGATACTGATACTAGATATGATTATTATTATTTTTTAAAACATATAAATAAATTTATTTATAACTATTAATATATTTCTTACAAAACCAAAGCAACAATCCGTCATGCATCGAAGTCTGAAAGATTGTCAGAACCAAATGCGTAGATTTCAACAATACGCACACAGTGTGTGCTCCTCAATCCATGACTCAAATTCGTAGAATTTTTAGATTCTACACTTTCTAGTAATTAACGTAGACTTATTAGAAATGGTGCTTGCTTCGGGAACCAGCCCCCCTTGAAGGTGAATAAGTTCGCCGAGATTGCAAACGAGAGTATCGCAGAATGGCGTGCAGGATTGAATGCTAGCGGAGATCTGTGTCGCCGACTTTGCCTGATTCGTCTCCCTTACATGCAAAGCTTTAGTCCTTGGGGATTGTGTGTTTTTTCTATACTCTCTTTTGCGTACACTCTAAGGGAGTTTGTTTAACCAGTTGGGTCGATCGAGTTAGGCTCTTGCTCAGGTATGTTTCGATTCTTGCAGAGTGGACGCTTCTGAAGAGGTGATAATTTGGGTAGCACGGGATCTGGGTGTGGAAGGATCGAGAGGGAGAAAGAGGGTGGGAGAGGGTTGAAGGCCAGCAGCAAGAATGCACGGTCGGCCACGGCAGCGGGCGGGGGAAACGCCCCCGCCTGAGGTCAATAAGAAAGAGCAGGCCCAAGTGGCGGAACTTCAGAAAATCATACCTCTTTTCATGGAGAATAATCGCACGTGCTGGTACGGATTGATTTTATTGTCCCCGAGTAGAGGCTTGTAAAGGATTTTGTGGGGTTTTGGTTGTGTGATGGGGTTGAATGAGAGATGTTCATGTGATTCTCGTGTGAAGCGCAGCTACTCATCTCAAGCCTTGGACCAAAATGCGCGACTGTTGGAGCTCAATCCTGAATTTTATTCGGCTTGGAATTATCGTAAGCGCGCTGTTCGACATTTGTTGAATCTCGAGTCGGATGAGGAGGTTCGCAAGCGGATAGTGCAGACAGAGCTTGATGTGGTATTGCCATCTAGTTTACCCTAAATTTACGTTTCGCAATTGCGGGTTTCATTGTTGTAAGTCACCTTTGGGTTTCAAGTCTGAATTAGGTCATTTTCTGGAGGCCAGGAGAGTCAATGGGTGGAGGTGATGAAGATCAGGATTGAGGGTGTGCGGGGCAGGTAGTCAGAGCTTTGAGAGTGAATCCCAAATCATATGGGGCTTGGTACCATCGCAAGTGGGTCATTCAGTTTGGTCTCTCGCCCATGGACGCTGAATTTCTTCTATTGAAGAAGCTGCTCAAATTAGATGCTCGCAACTTTCATGGTTGGGACTATCGGAGGTACTTATCCCTGCATAGTACATTATATCGTAGGAATTCTTTTCTAGTCACGGTCATCTCTCTTGTAACGGTAGTTAATCCAGTATACTTGAGCATCGCCTTCTTTGTTCTGATTTCAAGGGCGGTTTTTAGGTCGATGGTTCACTCGATTAAGTTTCTTCTTGACCACTTTTCACAGATTTGTTGCAAAGACTAAGGGAGTTGCTGTTGAAGATGAGCTGCTTTTCACCACAGATAAAATCAATGAGAATTTCAGCAATTATTCGGCTTGGCATAATCGTAGGTGAGCAACTATGCGCATGATTCTTGTACTAGTGCCGCTCTTCACCCGTTTAGTTTAGTTCTACATAGGCTGCGATTCATACTGTGCCCTTGCGAGTGTGACTTTTGTTTTCAGAATTGGTGCCACAACACCTCGTTTGACTTGTAAGAATCTGTCTCGTCGAGGATTTCTGCAGTGCTCTCTTGTCGGAGATATCCAAGAATGAAGCTGCAGAAAATGGCAGAGTGCAAGAGAGGTTGCAAGAGGAGTACGAGTTGGTGAAGAATTCTTTCTACACCGATCCAGATGATCAGAGTGGATGGTTCTACTATTCTTGGCTACTCGGGCAAACTATAGCTCCAGTGGGCACACATGTTAGTGGCTGCTGGCCTCCTCCGAAGTCTTTGATTGTAATCGATTTGAAGAACAATTCGTACAAACTCCCATTCAATAAACTCAAGGTGGGGAAATTGGAAACCCTACCAGTGGTGATTTGCTTTAGCAACTCTGTGACCGGTGTAAACGACCAAACTGTTTCCACCACTGTTGATGGAAATGATTCTTTGGAGCTTGAATGGAGGCCTGTTGAGCGTTGGCAGAAGAGTGGCCGGAAATGGACTACAAATATTAAAAACTGTTTATCCTCAAGCAGTGGACAAACTTCAGTCAAGATATTGGTGGGTGCAGTTCCAGGCATCACATCTCTTGATGGTCAAGCTTGTGAGCGTTCGTGGCAGTCAAGCTTTCAAGTTCTTTTTGAAGAGACATCTTCTTTTGAAGACTACGCAGATAAGTATGATCAGCTGTGTGAAAGCATATTGCAGTCAAGATCTCGCACTTTCGTGGATTCGCCATCTTCTTTACAATACTTGTTCCCGGTAGCAAATCATTCGGGTTCAAACAACGAAGAGGCAGATGGAACAAAGATTTGGCAGCTGGGCTTATTGGACAGAGAAATTCAATCATGTCGGGAGCTTCTTGATCTGGAAGAGAATAGGTAATTATGTGCTCCTGCATCTGTTCATGGTGGAATGCATTGTAACTTTGTGTTCAGGTAGTTAGCTTGCAATATCCTTCTTAACGACTAATTCGTCAACTTTTTCAAATCTCCAGCTTCTTATAGTCCTGAGGGTAGATTACTCCAATTATACCTCTGATTCCTGTTATACAGCTACTGTGTTGTGAGTTAGTTAGCTGTTATAACGTCAATGTGAGTCATAAAAACAATTACAACTGTTGTCTCATGTTTACTGTGTTGTGGACTTATTTAAGCGGCTATTTTTTTTTCCTTCTGTTTCCCAGCAAGTGGACAAGGCTGACTTTAACAAGATTATTATTGACACATGCCTCATACAACACATCTTCTCTGAAAAGTCATATAGATGAAGCACGTAAGCATTTGGAAATGCTGAAGTGCTTGGATCCAACCCACCAAGAGTATTACCAGCATCAATTGAGCTTGCTTTCGTTGAAAGAGGTGAGAAATTGTTTTCTGTTCAACATGCCGACTTGCACATCAGTAGCTCTACATCACTCAAAGTTTTGTGACCTTTAGGGTACTGCAGCACGTGATACTATTTTGGAGATCCTCAAAATCTTCAGGTTAATAAACACAGATTGAAGTTACTTTTAAGATGACGAACCTGTTGGCTATTCCGTTGGTCCATTTATGTGTGCAATGAAGTGGGTCTTCGCAACATGCTTTCCTTGTGGACCTTTCCTTGAAATGGAAATACTACATATTCAACCTGTGTGGGTGGTGATTATTTCCAGCTTACAATGGACGAATTTATTCTTGCTGGGAAATATGTGCGAGAAGGGCTGCTCAAGTTGAATCAATTGTCACTGTGCTCCTTGGAATTCGCGGATAGATTCTTATGGGTTCAAAATCTGGACCTAAGTCATAATCAGTTGCGATCTACTCATGGTAATAGCTTCTCATTTGTCTTCCAGCTAATTCTATACAGGGATTGTATTTTGTTGCTAACGAGGCCCTTCTCTAACTCGTGCAATCGCAGGTTTCAACCTTCGTGATCATTTACGTGTTTTGAATTTATTTGTGTTCTTCCCTCGTACAGGACTAGAGGCTTTGCAACTACTGAGCAACTTAACGCTGAGTCACAACCGGATTGGTAGTGTAACAGCACTAGCGCCACTAAGGGGACTTCCTTTGCTTGAGGATGTCGATGTCTCATACAACCAAATCGGTGACCATACCGTAGATACATGTAGAGTTTTGTGCTCATCGAAACTCATAAATGCTAGTCTTGTACCACCTGCCTCCAGTCAGAAATCAGATCGTGCAGAGTGGCACCTCAAGGAAGGTAGGTACTGGGAGATCAAAGTTGTCTTTGAGGATTTGTGTTGGCAGAAACTGAATATTGCTGGAAACTCAGCTGCAAAAGATGTTGAGTTCGTTGATGCCCTCAACCGGGCACTGAATGGGACTAGATTAATTACAGAAGCAGAAACGAATTTATGAGAGTAGAGGAAGGCCAAAACTCTTCTCGACTCTTGGTCGTAATTAACAGTGGAGCCATTCTGTTTAAAATGGCATTAGGCTAATTAAGTTTTTTTTTTTTTTTTTTTTTTTTTTTTTTGATTTTTTTCTCTGGTTGTTGTTGCATTGATTTTCAAAATGCAATTGTACTCATTATATTCGGGTACACAAACGAGCATGCGGTGAATTTGAGTGTGTTAACGTGGAAATGAAGTGGTCAAGTGAGAGGTCTGATTACAGCATTTCTCCAGTTTGATTGAGATAAGTACCGAACTAGTAATAGCTCACTTGCATGAGAGTAAGTACTTGCAGTATTATCAAAGTAAGTTCCAGGGCAAATCTGGAACTATCAACAATCAAAATTGTTTTAGTGCGTAGTACGCAATCTACTTCCTGCACCACGTAGACTGCAACAAGCTGGTGTGCGAGGTATCTCTGGCTGCCATGTCGTAGGATTGTGCACTCTGAGGAAACCGCAAGACGGCATTGTCATAAAATTTGTATGCAGTACTAAATCTAATTCCTCGAAGAACATCTGCATAGCATGATACGTAAGCTTCATCTATTATGATGTACATCAACTACTAGAACTGTGACGTTCTTGGTTCTCAGTCCAACCAACAACACTGGAAGACTGCAGCCTCGGGGACATGAACTTGTTGCAAATCAGGAATAACTAGCTCCCCAAAATTCTCAAATCCCTTCGCTCCCCCCAGCCGCACGCGAGCTACTAATCTGGAATTCTAACTATCTCCAAACCCAGTCTCATCTTGTAAATAAGATAATAATCGTTCTCCCAACGTCCACAACTAACAAGGGAATATGATCCTACACAATGAATGTGAGAGAATTCGACGTCTTCACAACCTTCAGCATCCCAACTTTCTTCAACACCAACCACAGACATCCAATGCTCAAGAGAGTCCTGCCAGCTTCTGTGTATTACTGCGAAAACTCCTCGAACATTCCAAAACTTTTCAAAATCGGGTTCAGCAGTTCACTGCTCTCGAGCTGCACGTTGCGCCCGCCGTTGCACACAGACATTCAGCAAAAATTCATGGTTCCTGATTTGCCCTCTATTATCAAAGTAAGGCAATGGTCACCGTTGTACCCTGAAAGCACAACCTTGCCCACATTTAGCCGCTCTATATTAGTCCGTGTCATCAACTTGTTGAAATTCGCCATAAAATCCCGTGGTACGTGCCCAACTGAAACCCCAGCGTCTTCTTGCTCGTGTAGCGCTCAGTTGTCAAGGAAGGTTGTGCGAGTGAAAATCGGCACTTGAAATTCCGGTTAATGCTAGCTTCCCCGAGTTGAAAAACAAGCCTGCGAGGATGCTCCGAGAGTTCCTCACTCACTCACTATTTTCTTCATCGCAACGAAAACCCACGAGCAGGATCATCTTATCTACAATGAATGTCTACCATTTAAAAAAAAACCCATAATGAATGTCTATCAACGAAAAAAGATTCATTGCGGTAGGAGGGACAAATGTCATTTTCCTCTTCAATTAGAAATATCTTTATTAATGGGTGGCCAAAGTTTGAGATATGGTAGACGACCCATTTTCAATAACTTAAGTATTTCATCATATTTTGCATATTTGCAGTAAGTTTAAAAATAAAAAAAAATGCCCCGTACACGTGATGAGAATTCCAAATATTTTCACACAATTTGGCCCCTAAACAGAATTTTTATAAATTTTTTAGCTGAAGATTGTCTTCAACCCGTTTCTGACACGTAAGCCATTCTAATCAGTGATGGGTTACAAACCTAACGAAAATATCCAGCTTTATATATAAAACGAAAATACCCTGCCTTATATGTTTGGAAATGGGGGTGGTGGACAATGGGTCGGCTACCTTGTATAAATATTTCGCCATTTGAGTTTAATCTCGGGCATCTCAAATCATCGGAACTGCATCGGAACTGCATCGGAACTGTCTCGATAGCAGGCCATTGAACACTAAACGCTTGCAATTACGTAGGTGTGCTGTCCTACCAACATTCATTCAAGGCTGCTGTGAGGTTGGTTAGTTTTTCTAAACTTTTCTTAGTGAAGTTGTTGTCTGAAAGAGGAGGAGCCACTGCAACTGGTTTGTTTAAGTTCTTTACGGGAAAAACGGTACAAGGATTGATAGAATTGTAAATTGAATTAGGGTAGAAGAGGATGGAGCAGAGGGTGTGAGAAACTTGAGTTTGGGGAGTGTGCCAGCGAAGATCAGAGCAATGTCGCTGACAGTGAGCACTGCGGGATCGTTGCATGTTGTAGCTCGTCGTTTGGGCATCACTGCGACTCCCTCACAGTCGTTAAGATCGGCCGCTTTTGTTCCTTCGTTTCTTGGGCGCAGGTTTTTTGCCTTTCCTAGCCAATTTGCTAGTCAAGGAGGAAGTTGCACCATTGTCGTGTCTGCTTCCAGTTCTGAGAGAAATGAGAGAGGTGAAGTATCTTTCACCCTCTTGATCGTCAAGTAGTGAAGTTCTGTTCGCAGTTGTGAATTAGTTATGAGTACGTATAGGGAGACGAAGGTGGATTTGATTTTTTTATTTTTATTTTTATTTTTTGGTGCCTGCGTTTCGTTCTGCTGGAATTTTAGTGCAAAATGCGCAAATTGCTTGCATGGGAATTTGAATGGGTTGCGTGATGTGCATTGAGGAGAGCAAGCGTTTGGTCATGTGCTTATTACTTTGTGGAGTGCAGATTCCGTAAGCACTAGTGCTACTGCGAAAATGGGGCAAACAAAATGCGAGACTCCATACGGAGCTTGGAAGTCTCCGTTGACAGCAGAATTTGTGTCAGGGTCATCGAAGCGCTTGGGAGGGGCTGCCGTTGATTCTGACGGCCGGTTGGTGTGGCTCGAAGGCCGACCTTCTGAAGCTGGGTTAGTTAGCAATCCCCTGAATCTTTAACTTTCTCTTGCTCAGAGCGTTGATTCGATATCACCCCAAACGTCGCGCAGCAGTCTGGGAGTTAGGGTCAAGAACTGAGCTGAAAATTTGGATCTTGTGTGCGTGTTATTTGATACGTTTTCCTACGCCTAACAGTTTCTCAATGTAATGCTTCTGTGCTTTATTGCTTTACACAATTTCGAGAAATTTCCATCAACGAGCACTGATTGTTGGGTGAGATGCTGCTGTTTTAAATCTTATGCCCACATTCTAATTTCCTTTTGCTTAATCGCAGGCGTGGGGTGTTAATGTGGGAGGGAGCCCAATCTGGATCCTTTCCGGAGGAAATTACTCCACCTGGTTTTAACGTTCGCACCCTAGTGCATGAGTATGGCGGAGGGGCCTTTGCAGTTAAAAGGGATAATGTAGTTTTCTCCAATTACGCAGACCAGAGGTTGTATAAACAGTCGATTAGGGGTGGTACACTTCTTTCTAACCTGGACTTTCAATCAGTGCACATGCAACCGTCTGATATCTCTGCTTACAATATATAGCACTATCTCAGTAAGCTTTCAGAACTCCCCGATCCAATTAGTTTTCAGAACATGATACTATCTATCGGTTTTTCCAATCACTCAGAATTTTTTATTTTTTTCCGTCTATGTGGACAGATCGCACTCCATTGCCACTAACTCCAGCGTACGAGAATAAAGCAGTAAGATATGCAGATGGAATATTTGACGGAAGATTCAATCGTCTTATCGTAGTGCGGGAAGGTGATCACTTTGCGATGCATTTGGGCTAGTCGATACCAAGCTAGTAGCAGTTGACATTGATCTGTTGATGCGGGGGCAATACGTGGCATGACATGAGTGCCTCCACCAGCACAATCATGACTTTGATCTGAAACTGTTTCGTTAGCGACTTGGTACTTCTTGAATGTCGTGAAGCTTTAACATTGAATGTGGTGTTGGATGCTTATTCTTTCATGCAGATTATCGCCAGGAAGGGGTTGAACCCGTCAACGACATTGCAGCCGTGTCCCTCAATGGCGAAGCTAATCTTGGTAATTTCTCTTGCAGCCTTAGTTTAGTCGTTTTTCTGGTGATATGGACACATGTGCTTGTCTATGTGATTTATGGATGGCTCCTTCGTTGTGAATTGTAGCTGACGGAAGAACTAGTCCTTTGAATGTTACTGGCTGCATCATGATATTTCATACTGAATTGGTGCAAATCTGTTTCTCGGTGTTTGGTTTCAGAACCAGTGAGTCTTGTGAAAGGCAAGGACTTCTACATGTTCCCAAGACTGAGTCCAGATGGTCAGATGCTTGCTTGGATGGAATGGTCTCACCCTAATATGCCTTGGGATCGAACATCTATTTGGGTTGGCAAAGTTTCAGATGACGGGTGAGGCTGCAATTTTTGCTGGTAGTTTCTTGTGTATTGATGACTTACAGTTGTATGTTGACTCTGGTTGTTATACCACACCTGAGTCAATTGCTAAATGCTTGTATGAATATGCAGCGAAGTAGATATGGTGATAAATGCAGTCCTAGATCTTGTTTCTGGTTTGCTAGTAATTTACTGGTGGTGTATCACGCGTGCACGAAAATGAAGCAATCGGTGTTTGTTTTCATGCTCGCGCATACAGGAGCATAACAAATCCAGTTTGTGTAGCGGGAGGTGATGAGGGCGTCGTGGAGTCGGCCTCTGAACCACAATGGTCACCCAAAGGTATGTTCTCAATTATATCTGGAGTATTGTCATTCTTTATTGTAGTTCAATCGTTTAGGTTTGGCACGCTTTTGCTTTCACAGGCTGTAACATTTTGCGAAATCGAAATCCTCTATGTCGTAGCAATTATGGTAAAGCACCTTTTTAAATGTATCTCTTTCTGGGTGCTGTCAGGTGACTTGATCTTTGTCTCAGATCGTGGAAACGGATTTTGGAACCTCTATTCCTGGGTATATTTTACTTCATTTGAAAGTTCACATTGTTTTCTATCGTTTCACTGAACATCTGAAACGTTGGCTTTGACATTTCACTAGGATTGTTGCGCTGATTGCAACAGATTCAATTTGTAAAGTGAAGTTTCTATTGGTCGGTGATCAGAGTGTCGGGGGAAAGGTGCAATCTCTGTGTCCGATGGAAGCTGAATTTACAAGACCAGCCTGGATTTTTGGTATCTCCTCATTTGGTTTTTTTGGCGATTCTGGAGATCAGATTGTATGCGCTTACAGGTTTTTATCTCGTGCCCAGTTTTGTCCCCGGATTCTATTTCTGTTAGCAGCAATTTGTCATAAAGAGTTCGAGTGAAAAGTATTTTTGGTCCTGGACCTCATTGTGGTTCTATCATACAGAACTAAAAAATCCTAACGTAGCTTCACACGTTTTAACTAAATGGTTCAGAGATCTGTGATGAAAATTGTGTACAATTTGATTTCGGGAGGGCATCGCGCTCAACAAGTAATTGTACCTAGATGAGTACGTTTGAAACATCTGATGAGATTCTTTTCCATCTGTAGACAACGAGGTGTTTCTCATCTAGCTACGTTTGACCTATCCTCCGGCTCATTGTCACCTGTCAAGACAAGATTCACCGACATCTACAATCTGGTAATGTCTTCAATATGTACCAGAGAGTGGTGTATAGCATGTGATTATTATTTTTGTTATATTCAGATTGAGAGTAACTGAGGTATTTATTCAGCAATTCTTTAAATCCTGGTTATATTAACATCAGACGCACTAAGTTAGGTGGCTTCGATGAGTAAGTGCATAGTTCTGGTGGATTGGTTTGTATCTCAATGCTGATTTCATGGATCGGGAAACTTTGTCCATTGACTGGAGGTCTTCATTGTGATGTGGCGGTGACAGTTCGTACATGGTAATGAAGTGTATTTCAGCGCTGGGTCATCCACCGACACGCTCTCTATTGTGAAGGTGAGGAAGTTATTGAAAATATATATATGTGTATACCTTGGATGGTATTGGTTCTCTAGGATTCATTTTAAGTCTTTGTTTCAACGTGCTAATCTTGGAACTCACAATGTTAAGGGATTTGTGAAGGTTTGTATCTTGCTTCAGCGTGTTTTTGAATTATGCTGGTAATCTATGATACCGTTGCGATGCCATAGTGTTTTTGTTTATTTGTCTCTGAAGACATGTATGACTATGAGTCAAGGTGGCGTGCTTTTTTCCCTTAAAAGAACGATTGGTTGTAGGTTTGCCTCGCAGAAGGCAAAGCGGGCGCTGGTGAAGACACAGTATTGTGGTCGTCGCTTGGTATTGACCTAGAGCCGTACAAGCCTTACTTCAGTACTCCGAGGGTTGTAGAGTTTGCAACTAAAGTAGAAGGAGAGACAGCATTTGCCAACTTCTACCCTCCTGCAAATGGATACTTTGTTGCTCCATCCAGAGAGCGACCACCTTTACTCGTGAGGAGTCATGGTATGTACGCAGTGTTTGTGTGTCAATCACTTACCTGATGAAGCCATGTTCTACATTGAAAAATGCACCGTTTGTTATGATTGCTTTGACGTTCGGAGTTGCATTTTGAGAGTTTCAGGTTATTTTTCTATCTGAGAACTCTTCAAATACACTGCTTAGCTTGAAGTGTTGCCGTAACAGGGGGTCCGACATTGGAGGCAAGCACAACTCTAGATCCTGCTATTCAGTACTGGACAAGCCGAGGTTGGGCTTTCGCTGACGTAAATTATGGAGGTAGTACAGGTAAGTGTTTCGCTGTATTATGTGCATGTTGGTATGTTAAGGTATTCTAGTTTTCTTTAGCACTAGTCTGTCACACTTTTGACGAGAGATTTTGGAGCAGGTTATGGAAGGGCTTATCGAGAGCGGCTCAATGGCCAGTGGGGCATTGTTGATGTGAACGACTGCTGCAGCTGTGCTGAGCATTTGGTATCCCCCCAAACCCTGCATTTGAGAATTTTCAGGGCTAGAAGCAGTATTCATGTTCAATTTGCTCTTGATCCTTGCAATTTTTCACATTTAATATAGCAGGGATCATCTTTCTTTGATGTGCTTATGAAATTTTTGTACCGTTTCGGCAGTCTTATACGCTCTCGGTATGAAAACTCGGACTACCTAAGTTAAATATAGTTCTCTTGTTTCTGAAAGGGTTTTCGAATGTGAGCATTTTAGGCTAAAATAGGGGAGGTTGATCCCAAGCGATTGTGCATAGACGGGCGCTCAGCAGGTGGCTATACCACGATGGCCACCCTTGTATTCAAGGATACCTTCTCTGCTGGAGCCTCCCTCTATGGGGTATGAACTGAACTTAGTGAATGGAAATCTGTTAGTGTAAACATAACCGCTCTTGACATTGCCTTCGATTAGTTTTTATGTATAATCCAAATTTTTGGAAACGAGTCTTGTACTGGGATGGGCCCAAGATGGATCTGGATTCATCATAAAAAATTTATGTTGAATTCTTCCTTGAGTTCCTTTTTCTTTCTAGCTTGTTCAAGCTCTTCAAGTAGTATGTTACAACTTCATCGTTTGTTATGTGGATCGTCATATAACTCGTTGATCTTCCTTGTGTCCACTGAAATTTGTCAGGTAAGTGACTTGAAGTGCTTAATATCAGATACACATAAGTTCGAATCTCGTTACCTGGATAATCTTCTGGGTATGCTCTTTTCCTAGATTTCAATTTTAGCATGATTCAAATTTTATATAATGTACTGCGTAAATATTCGCTTGTTTATTCACAATCTCCGCTTCTAGGTAGATAAAGAATCTTAGCTTCGTGTTTGCTGAATAATCTCATTTCGTGTATCATTATTAGTGCACCATGGAGAGTTTCTAATGTTTTCTTTGGTGACCTCCAGGTCCTGAGGATGTCCTGGAAAAGAACACATATGACCGTTCTCCAATCCACTTTTTAGAGAAGCTCTCGTGTCCTATGATCCTATTTCAGGGCCTTGAAGATAAAGTAAGCTACCCACCGTCTCTCCCTCTGTATAATTGATCTGTCTTCTGGTGCTTGAATTCCATGGAGTCTTGTCTGAGGATGTCTACATTTCCTTGTTGCTGCAGATCGTGCCACCAAACCAGGCAAGAATGATTTATGAGGCAGCTAGGATGAAGGGTGTTCCTATTGCCCTTGTTGAATATGAAGGGGAACAGCATGGATTTCGGAAGGTATTGTCCCTTCACTTTACTTGTCCATCGGGTTTTGATGCTTGTGATTTTCGAGGCATCACCTTTCTTTTGTGAACATGCTTGAGGGCTCAAGTATGATTCGAGTTTCATAAAGCTAATTGGTTACCTTAAAATATTTTGAACCATCTTGTAATAACTGACTTTCATGGGCCTGGGGTTGCAGGCCGAGAACATTCGTCACTCACTTGAGCAAGAGATGACATTCTTTGCTCGTGTAATTGGAGGATTTGAAGTTGCCGATGACATCGTTCCAATCAAAATTGACAATTTTGACGACTGATATGCCAACTCAATTCTCCTGATGAGTTATTTGTTAAGTGTCGGGGTTTTGAAGGGCATTGTCACAAGTTACTCATAAACTTGAGTTGGCTTGGTTTTTGAATAAAGAGGTTTTTGTTCAACCATGGGCAAATGTTTTTTTCTCATCAACTCCCATTGATCTAAACCAAAAACAAGAAACTAAAAAAATTAAAAGAAATAAAATTTACATGAATTGCTTAAAAATCCATTCATTCTTTTTAAAATAGTAGCAACTAAAAAATTCATAATTTTAAATATACAATGCATTTCTTAAAATTAGGAGTTGTACTTATTTGCTGAAAAGTACACAAAGTAAATTGAAACATTATTTTGCAGACTCGCTTCTATATTTATGAATTCAAAAATATAATCTTGATTGTGATTTGGGGTAGCAATGACTTATTTATCAATTTATGTCTACCACCCTTTTTGCTGCATAATCCAAGACATCCTTGCAATCAGATTAGAGCCACATACATATATATAGTTTAAAATTTATATTTGTGTATGAAACATACAATATATCCATTATTAAGATGGTGATTTTGAGGTTTGATTTATTCTGATTTGCACATAATGTGAATTACTTTTTAGTTTATGAAAACTCCATAAATCACAAATATTCGTATAAAATAAATAGAGTTTTATGATTTTTGAGATTGTGTGCACTTAATTATACAGTTTTAGCAAAATTATTTGTGAGTCAGCCCCTGCATCTTAATGAAGCTTAAGCATTTTAAAATTAAATATTAATTTAGACTAATTTAATCTACGATAATGAAATACATTTCTGTGTCAATCGAGTATCTTTGTTATCAGTGTCATATTTATTCATTACATCTTCCTCCTTTTAGATTGATGGAGAAGTTCCAACTACCACAACAGCCCTAAAATTGGGGCACGCCTGCAGCTCCACTGAAGGTTTTGTGACATTGACAATGGCAGACGTTTCCCTTCTCTTCCCTGCGAGATTTCAAGAGCATGCTGTACTTAAATCCAACTATCCAAGTATCCGCTCCGGATCACAAATTAATACTAGTGTATCACCAATCCTCGCTCTGACTTACAGAATGGCAAGAGAAATGTGAGTGAAACGAGACAATACAAGCCGAGAACAGCCAGTACATGCTATCAAGGACGTCATAACACCAACAGTGTTGCACTTGGAACCGATTTCATAAAACAAAATTCTATTTTTTCTGCTTCGATTTTCAATGAAATGCAGATGTTTTTGGATTCCAACACCGAGCCATTATTTATACGGACATTCAAAAAAGAAACTTACGATCATTGTGTACAGACGGCCAATTGTTAGTACATCCAGGGCTGTGAGGCAACAAGAGAAACAAGTTTCCCGGAAACAGTGCACACACCCTGCTTTTGAGAGTTCGACTTTCACTCTGTTCCAGCAGCTGTTGTTGACACCCCTGAAGTTCCAGATCTGGTCTATTTCATGAGGCTGGACATTGCCGGCACTGTCAATCTGTATACACAGGAGAGCACGACGTTTTACTCGCGGGGTAAGAGACATTTCCATTTTATATTTATATTTTTGTACAAGATGTATGTTTATGCAAAATTTAGCAAGTAGCAAGGAATCCGTTGAGTACACATCAAATTACCGCTTTCACAATGATCTCTGTCCGTGGATACACTTGGGCAACACACTTCCACAATACCCACGCCCATTTCAAGAGCTGTGGATCAAAGAGCTGTGCAGTATCGCCGTCAGCCTCAAATACATCAAAAATTTCGACCTTGTGTGGTACAGCCCCACAACATGGACATGGAATGCGTGGAACTGAAAATGAGACCTGCCGGCGTTCAGCACTCTTCCATGAATGACCACTATTGACAGATACGTCAACACGGTCAATAGCTCGACCGCCACCAGCAATTGCGTAACCTCTGATGTTAACCTGCAAATGTAGGCGCATTCTCATGAGGCTTTCAACGGTCAGTCCTACAGAGGGAATAAGATCCATACATATCAAGATCTCAGTGTGTGAATATTACAGTAATATGTGTTCATACGAAGCGAAATGGTTTAGATGAGGACTAGACTGCTTACATCATCCATTGTTTCATATAAATACGCCCTGCAGCGTCAAACACAGATACCACTACAAGTGTGAAAAGATAGCAGTAAACTCACCGTCGCTCCCTTTGGTAAGAAAATGCCATCTTGAGGTACGCAAATGGCACTCTGGATCCACATCCAACCAAAAAACGCAAGACAGCAGTTTGCATGAGCATGCAAGAGATGCAATTGCAGCAAAGAAGTGAAGACCTTATTTACTGGGAGCAGGAGTGTCCAACTCTTCATACTTGAACCGGGAATTCCATTAACGGACGCCGTGAGGACCAATCCACCGTGGTTACCCATGGAGGATCTAGCTCCAAATGTGGTGGATAATGCTTGAAATGCTTTTGCATGTAGTAGCCCTGTGTGTCGGACATACATTGAATTTAGCAATCTTGTTGCAAAACCATTCCAGATCATTCCTATCCTAATACGAAAAGTTCAACTTGACCTAGTTAAATTTAACTCCAATAAGATCGTAATTTCTGCTATGAACCTGGCACTCATCTTTCGAGATTTTTATCTCCTTCAACCACTTTACAGACCGAGCACCAATGCAACCCGGAATAATCACACGCAATGGGTACCCATGCTCCCGAGGAATATCCTGTGTGGACAATCACAATGAGTCTGCATGGAACATGGATTAATGGATACATTTTCCCCAGCATGCTCTAACGCACAACTTATCACTTATGCTTAAGCTCCTACTCATGAAGAAGGCAGTTAAAGTAACTTGGCACCTCATAGTTCATTTCATATGCCAAAAGTACATCTGCTCTGGGTGTTGTAGCATGTATCAACGGTATGGAAGATTTGAATGGCTCATCAGGTGTCTCCTGAGAAACGAAAGAGAATAGAAAAAGGTTCAGTCAATAGACTATTGCCTAAGAAATTTGCGAATGATCTTCAGATCAATTTACGAAACTCTTCCAACTTCTGTACCTTCATGTAATCGACACTGATAAATTCCACGTAGCGGCCACCCTCGCCTGTCTCCAAAGTGCGGTAAGGGATACCTTGCATTTTCAAAACGTCTGCAAGTCTGACTCCTCCCCATATCGCTGCATCAGAAATGACCACTCATAAAGTTGCTTGTTCAAGAAAGTCACATGATCTTACTGTAGCATTCAAAAGGAATTTTTGGTTTGCAGATCGTTAATCACAATTTGCAATGGTTATATGGATGGGCTCTTGGACCTTGCATCTGCTCAAGGAAATTACCGGTTCCAATGGCTGCGTTGCTCGAAGGAACTTATGGTATCTCCCTATACTGGGACATTTCCATCCTCCGGTTTCCTGCACACTATTTTTACCTTGTCGTCATCTATCCTGTACATTAGAGGATGACCAAAACATTCAATATTAGGGAGTTGCTATGGAATCCGAAGTTTGCATACGATTGAAGAGTTGATAACAATCGTATGAATGCACATGAGAGGTGAAAAGTGATCAAATGGATTGGTGATCAGTTGATACACCATCAGCGTTACGGGCACTCTTGACTTCGGCATAGCACTGCGAAACCGAACAGAGAATGAATGTGTGAGGTTGGAAACAAATCCTCGAAATTCAGTGCACTGCAACAAATGCTTCGGAGTTTTCTTACTAGCTATTATATTCGTTTCATAAATTGTTCTGGGATTGCATTCAATACAAATAACACTTCCGTTTCGCAATCTCAGACTGAAGTCTCTATTTTCATAGTGTTCCCAACATAGACTGTAAGCCCATGAATGAAGAATCCATGAAAAATATAGTTACAGTATGGTGTCTCGACTGAGCGTCGTTGGCTTAGGGAGAAGTCCAAAGATCTTCAATTCATACCTGCATGAATGTGTCAGCACCTTAAAACCTCAGCAATCATTCAAAATCATGTTTCAGTCGAACCCAAGAGTATTCTCCGTGTCTGTGTGAACTTGTATTAGGCTGTCATTCTTTCAAATAATCCTGCTTGAAGAACAAAATCATGCAGTTCAAGGGAGGTACTCGGATGGATCGATAATCTTTGCAACAGGACCATGGTTGCACTTGAAAAATATATGCTTTGGGGTCAGAAAAGTATCAAGAAGGACCAACGCCGGGGGTTCCCCTTGGAACGGAGTCTGCAATGGCCACAAATCACTGACCCAGTTTAATGCCACTCATTTAATTAGTGGAAAGAAAATGTCGCAATCTACGTTTCATGGATGTGGTGAAACAAGTAGGGTTTGGAGTATGCCAAGCTGTTGATGCGCAAGAGCTTGCTGCGGTCCCTCGGATCATCTTGGTAATCTCTAGGTCCGCTCAAGCCTCTCTCAATTTTTTTCAGCTGGTTACAACACTTGGGAGATTGGCATCGCAGTTTCGGTGGTGGGAATTTGAGCGGATCCTGTGTCTCATTTGAACAATCATCCTTTTCGGTCACCATCTTCCAAGTCCCGAAAATCATCCACTCAACAGAACAGATCACCCAGAGCCTTAAATCCCCAACGCCAGGCTTCTGAAGTGACAAATCTAGGGCTATCCTTGGAAGATCCACATGGTGATCTCAAGGGGATGCCTGCGTCTCATTGTTAGCAAGAATCTCAACGACCAGCGAGACGCGATGAAGGAGCATGACGGCTTTGTAGACCGTGGTACGTGGCTTTGAGTAAGAATACTACAAAGCCGACGGTTACAAAGATTTGAGAAAAAGAAACGAATCCTCACTTTGCGTGCATGCACCAGCTTTGATCCCACTGCAAACCCATCGACACAAACATCTCCAAACCCTAATATCTCTCACCTTCATTCTAATTGTTGCAAAATCACAAATCCATAAGTAAACTTTAGAAACCCAACACTTGCTACCCCAACTCACTATATCATTGAAGTCAGGAGATGAAGTTTAGAATAAAAATAAAAATAAATTCTCAGTTGGATGAAATGAGACGTTAGATTCAGCAAGCTACTGTAATCACAGCACTAGAATACACAATCAATCATGAGCAAATCAAAAGCACAGTCTGCAAACCCTAAAGCTTGCCATCACTTGCACAATTATCAAATCTCAATGATGCCTATGCCTAAATTATCTCTGGAAGTGAGATGGCCCAATTAATTAGTATATGTTACTTTGTAAAAAAGTGTGCCTATTGCCACATACTTTGCCTATTGTTGCATACACAATGAAAATGCCACATACACTTTGCTATCATTAGTCAATTCACAAAGGACCTCCTTACAAACAAATTAACAACTCTTACATCACATGCATCTACTTTGTCATCTATCACTTTGCCATTGCTCCACTGTCTACTCCCTTGACCTTTGCTTTGCTTTACCAATGCTTGCCATGCATTTCTATGCCAAAGGAGCAACTTATGCCATAGCAAAATAGTAAGGCTATTAGGGTAGAATGGAAGCAATGCATAAATATTTTTTAAGGTTGCATTTTTGAAGTGGCTTGTTTGAGGATAAAATTTGTCTTCTTGTATCCTATGTTAGTCACAAAACATTCTTTTCTTGAATTAAGAACCATAGGTGCCATCTCCCTATGTAGTTGAGATGTGTCAGATCATTCAACAATCAATGCATGCTAATTGACATTGTTTCAAATATTGATGCAAAATTATCAACCATCACATGAGAGGTGTACTTAATGACCACATTGGAATTGGAGTTGGAATTGAAGAATCATTGATTGAAACAACCACCATGTTGAAATTGCAATTGTTGTCGGAGCACAATCTTTGTACTCTCCTAGCTTTAGCAATCAAATAATTTTTGTTGTGTAAAGCTATGGAAAAGTCAACATATTATTGTAATGTAATACAACTAATAAATGAAAGAGAGAAGAAAACATTACATTATAGAAGATCTTATTTTAAAATATTATAGCAAATTATCTTAGAAATATAAATAATAATAAAAAAGATTGTAAAACTAAAAAGTGATAATGCTATTTTTTTACAAAATGGGCTTTTATTTACTTTGTAGGCCTATAAACAAGCCAAAATAAAGTAAATTGGAAAATCAAATGATATAAACATGTGTAGCAAGAAATTAAGAGTAGATTTTAGCAAAATTTACCTCAAGAAGCAAAGAATTGATATCTAGAGAAGAGCGATTGTCAACTTAGGTCAAAATTAGATCCTAAGGCTCAAAATTGTACACCTATGGTGATTCTAAGATTCTTTGGTAGATCAAAGAGTGGAATATGAGAGTAGACTTGAGGAGAGATTTTTAAGCATTGGTTTCATGTCATTTGGATCAATATTGGAATTTTTAGAGATTTTCAAAATTAGTGATGTTCTTGGTGGAATTAGAATTTGAGAAATAAAAATATGTTTACAAATTTGACGGTTTTTTGAATTCCATGGTGTGTGTATAGGTGAAATTTTGGCAATGTATTGGTGTGCTAGTTTTTAAGGTCAATTGAATAGTTAGATTGAAGTATATAAAGGTTTTTGTAGATTGAGGTCTCAAAAATTGGAGTTTGAGGGTCAATGAGTGTGTATAAGATCTTTAGCAATTTGTTAGTTGAATTGAAGTGAATTTTTTTAGTATAGATATTAGACTCAATTTCGAACATTTGGATAAAATTTAAAAGCAATTTAATGGTTCAAGAAGGAGATATTAGCACTAAAATTTCAACATTTAGATTGGAGTAGGAGGCCATCCAATACCTAATTAGATTATCTTGAATTTCTCTCAATTGATAAGTGCAATCAATTTCATCTTTCTTTTGCTTGTTTTTAATTAAGACATTAAGAAGTGTGAAAATTTTGAGTTGATATCAATAATTTAATCAATAGCTGTTGAAATTCTATTTTGCTGTAGGAATTTTTAAGAGTTTGTTTAAGATCTTAGATTTGATTAGGATTTGGTTTAGAATTTGGTCTAGGATTTGGTTAGAATTAGGATTTTCTTATAATTTGGTTCAAAACTTATCTAAGATTGATTTAGAATTTAAGAGTTTATTAAGATTTTATTAGGATTTGACCTAAGATTTGATTAAGATTCAATCAAGATTTTGATTAGGATTCGACTTATAATTTGGTTAAGATTTAATTAGGATATTAATTAAGTTTATATTAAAATTTATATTTTTAGTATTTCTTTAGTTTTTTTTTTTTTTTTTTTTTTTTTTTCTTTTGTGGCTTTTTAAAAATTTATTTTGATAGGTTAAAATTTGATTGGATTTCTTAGAGATTATTTGAAGTTTATACTCTAAGAATAAAAATCTCACGTATTTTTAACATGAATCATAGAGGTACTATTCCTATACATATGGAAGAAGTCTAGAGTCTATAGTAAAAAATTGTATAATTGAAGGAAGTAAGTAGGTCGGTCTTTCATAAATATATACGTATTGTAATCATTATCTAGACATGTAGAATTAGGTATAAGTAGATTAATTTTATAATATCTTCCAAAAAAACTTTTTAAAAGCTTCTTAGACATTGTGTTGACTTTACATATGTTTGTAATTGATTGGTAGATTAGAAACTTGGTCAAGAAGCTATCCATGTGCTACATGTACTGGTAGCTTGCAAAAACAACTAACAATGTCATGGCCATATAAAAAACTTGCTTTACAAATCAAGATATGTGTCATGCAAAGTCAACATGTTTTTGGATGTCGTATAGAATGTTGCCACATAGATCTTATATAGATAATATATATAGAGGTAAGATTGAAGCCTTCTTCACTCTTGTCAACTCCTTTCATGCTTCTAGTCTAGATTCATGAGTTTCTATTTTCCTTGTTTTTTGGAAATAGACATTTCAGTTTCTTTTTAATATACATACTACTTTATTGCTATTTTTCCACTTTTCTTTTGATATAGATTTCCCAAGTTTATGCATCTTCTTCAAATCCATGACCTTGATAGATTGATAAGAGTACACTTACAATATTAGAGCTTTGTCTTCTCTTGATTAAGAGTGGATTACCTCTTTCTCTTGATAAGACATAAGAGTATTAGAAGTTGTGGATTACTCTCTTCTAAACTAATATTCTTAATATTTTTAGTATCTTCAACAAAAATGGCAGGAAGTGAAGATACATATATGATTGGATCCACTTCAACATCTACAATGAATTACATCCCTTTTCTTATAGTTGAATATCCTTCTAGTGTTAAAGAATCAAGAGTTGCCTTATCTAAGAAGTTTGATGGCTCAAGATCTAAGTTTCTAGAATTTATCAATCATATACATCTTGTGATTGAACTTCAATTCCAAAGCTATTCAATCTAAGATCACAAGTTAAATTCATTTTTATACTTCTTTTAAATTTAATATTATCATGATTTTCATCTTTTCTTAAATGACAAGATCCAATATTTGATAATCTGGAAGCTTTTTTGAGAGAGTTTTAATACATGTATAGAGAATATGATGTAATTTGTGTTGCAACCAATAAAATTCATATTTTGTAATAAAGTAATTAATTAGTGATATCATATACCTCACAATTTTGATAACTAGTGGCTGATATCAAGTATGATGATGTTATCCTTATCTGGAAAATTTCTCTATAGATTATAATATAAGGTAAAGAAATTGATGCTCAACTTATTTAATCTTCAAATATTGAATCAAGCAATTTCTTTTGCTATGAAGTGTAATAATTGGCTTTTTAGTTTCAATCTAAGAATTAGACAAGAAAACCTCCACGACATTATAATTCAATGACAACATTGACGACCTCTCAATCCAAACAACTGGAAGTAAGAAACATGAAAATTAATGTAATATGATTTAAACTTCTTATTAAACAAGAAAAGACTTTTCATCATTAAGAAAGATTGTGTTTATATTTTGGAAAAGCTTAGCATACTACTCAACATTGTCCAAAGAATTAACACTACTACAAAATAAAGAGTGCGACTGTCAAAGATGAAAAAATATCAGAGAACAAATTTGTATACCTACAATAGGGACCATATAGCTAGAATCTTGTATAAATGAAGGTCCTATCTTCTCCTCAGAACCCTCTCTTTATTTTATAATAGATGTGCATTTAGAACCTAATAATCACAAAGCCTTTGCCTTGATAGATTTAGGAGCTTCATCTTATTTTTTAGATAAAGAATTTGTTAAAAGCCATAGAATATTGTTAATACAAAAAACTAAATTGGTACATGTAGAAGTCATAGATAGCCATCTATTATCTTCTAGAGATATTATTTATGAAACACTTCTTGTAGATGTAGCATTGAATGGTTACAATAGTTGTATAATTTTTAATATAATTAGATCTTCTTTTAATCGGATCATTTTTATTTTATTGTGGTTAGAAAAGTATAATCTTCTAATAGATTGGATTTTTTGTAAATTTGACTTTCTTCAGAGTACTATTAAGAGTTTTTTGAAAAGCCATGAGTCTAATATAGCCAAATCCATACTCGTAGGTACAAAAGCTTTTTTGCATGTTGTAAAAGAAGGATTGCCCTTTGTTATTTATGCACATCCATTTTTAGTGATGGAAAGACTTCAAGTAGTATTCTAAATAAATATTAAGATTTTAAAGATATTTTTGAGAAGAAGGATGTAGATATTCTCCCAGAGTATTGTCCATATGAGTGCTCAATTGATCTTAAAAAAAAAGTCAGCCACCATTTGATTCAA